AGATTACTTCACTTCCTTAAAGAAATAACAGCAGTTAGGGGGTTACGACTATAGTTTAAACAATGAGATTTTCTTGGGACATCTGTTTTGAGATCACATTTTGAATAGATATGAACTCATTTCCTACTAAGCAAGCAATCTACTATTGTTGATAGCTGTTTACCAGTTCTATGAGTCAGATATTAGCTAGTGGCAAAGGTCCCTCTCAAATCCTCTGAGTATTTTTTAAACTGTGTACATAGTGTTTTCCTTAAATAAAATGTTAGGAGAAGTAGAAATGCAGTCTTTTCCTGCCTCTGGTAAATTATGATCCCAAAACTTTGCACTTGGGAATAATATTTAATGCATTTATTTTTAAAGGCTTATTTCCTTTGTTGTATTTACTGAAGGAAGTAAGACACTAGGCTTAGCAAGTATTTAAAAAACACAGATACTTTAAGAGATGCTCACTATGTCAATATTTATACAGCATTTAAAAACTAGAAGTAAAATTAAGTTTCTATTTAGATTAAACCAATTGTGATTAACTTAGCATCCACAAAAAGTGCCTAATGACAAAAAGATAAACAAATAAAAGCATAGTAATATACACTATCGAATTGACCTTGGGTTCACTACTTTTAAATTCTTCTTTTCTAATATCTCAGTTCCAATTTCTAACGAGCATTTTTTAAACTGGTTATGCAGATCGGTCCTTAAAGCAAAAAAAAATAGCAATTTATCTGGCCTGTATGTTGTGGACAGGGTTGCCACTAAAAAGAATCCAGGACATTTTTCCTTCTTATCTGCAATGTAGCTCATATCAGCCAACCTGTCACAAGATAGTACTTGATATAAACAAGAGATTGCTAAGACATCTCAGTAATCAATATCAGGATGGCTACAGTATGGAAACCCCAAACAGTGCATATCATTTGTCTCAGCATCTATTTCTATGGCCAAATGAAGCATTAATTCAAATCATAAATCTATGGTGATTTAAATCTGGGAATGAGCACCTGCCTGCTTTAATGATTTATTTTGTACATTTCAGTAAGCAGGAGATTTGTCCATATGAACTGACAGGTCACCTTCAGATGCCAGGAGCAGACTGTTTATCACCATGCAGACTAGCATCTCATCTTAGCAAGTAAATATTAAACTAAAAGAATCCAATTGATTGTGGATGAAGGAGAATGGCGACATGGCCATATATTTTACTCAGCATGCTGATGCCTCACTTAGACCCACCCTGAGGTCCTCACTTCACCCTGAAAGTGATCATTCTGTGAGCTCAAGGTTACCGTGTAAAATTGGGGTACAAAACAATTGTTTTTCAGTGTCGATTTCTTTAAACAGCTTTTTTCCAGCTAATTTTTAAGATTCCTATTAAGAAGTGAAAACTGTTATGTATAACAAAATTATATTGTCACTTCACCAAGCCAAATCAAACCAAACCAAGCAAACACAAAACCTATTTTCTGGGGCTGTACAGATTTATTTACAACCAAAGAAAAAAAATTGTGCTCCTACAAAGAAAAGCCTAAAATATTTAACATCAGTTGTGTGCCAGAGGAGTACAGAAAGTAAAAAGAGCACTGAACTGACTTCCAAAATGTCAGGAGATTTGGGTGAGACTGAGTAGCAAAGATACATCATTTAAGTAACTTCAAAGAGCCAATTGATTCATGAGTGCAGTAAGTTTGTATTCGGTCATCTGCGCATTCGAGGTTCTTGAGATTCTTCTGGAATTCATATTCTTCAGTATCAATTCCTTACTCCTTCATGATAATTGATTCTCCTAGAGAATACTGCACTTTCTGTTAGAATTGCCTGTTACTTTAGCTGTTCCACCCACAGATTGTATGCACCTTAATTTCTGGGCCTGTTGGAGATTATTTTTGTGTTCTTAGAATGCGCTAAAATCGAATATACAAAAAATTCAAGTGATGTAACAGTTACCCTCAAATTTCCTCACAATTTAACCAGTAATACCCACCAGAGAGAATAAAAGGAAGAGGAGAGGCCGTTTATGGCAGTAAAAAGAGGAAAAAGGCAATTTTCAGGCAGGTTTAGACATACAGCAATACCAAAAGCAATACTAAAATGTCAACTTAACAATGTGCACTAAATGTATATTTTAAATCTCATGATTATTATCTATAATATTTTTCCAAATGTGGAATGTTGGGCTCAGAAAGTTTTCATAACTTCCAAAATCACAGAGCAAGTAATGATTGAATACTTACCCAGAGGCGGGCACTATCCTCAGAACCAAGAAGACTGGGATCATAAAAAATAGTTCATCCAGCAACTGCCCTGATCTATGTGAGTTCAACTTCCATTGCCCTCTCCCCTTTTCAATCACCTCTTCCCCTCCTCCCCAAGCTCACTCTCCCTGCTCTCTAGATAAACATATAGGGGTGGGGGTCCTTGTGAAGAATAATATAAACTATACGTTTTTAGAGGACAGGAACATGTGAAAACAGAATGAAAATGATGAGATTTTTTTTGTCTAACCAAATCATATGTACGTTAAGAATTAGCAATGGTTAATGTCCATTTTGTATGCTTTGATACTGTGACTTGAGCAACACTAAGATGATAGATAATGTGTAATCTATTAACTGGTGATTTCTTACTGTGTTTTTTTGTTTTTTTGTTTGTTTGTTTGTTTGTTTTTTTGTAGTTCTGTGTTACTTGTACCCTTACACCACTTTGTTTTGTTTTGTTTTTTCTCTTTTTCCTCTTAAATTAAAAAAAAAAAAGAATTAGCAATGGCAGTGATGGTAACACATCTCAAAATCTCAAACTTTTCTAGGAAAATTTAAATGAATATTTGTTTCTGAACCAAATTGAAGATTGATAATGTCAAGCTAACAGGCAATATAAGCTATCAACAAATCCTTTATGGGAAGAAAAATTATAACTTTCAATTAAAATACACAATGAAATTTAGATTATTATCTGTTGGGTTGGGTTTTTTTTTTTTTTTTTTTTCTTATTTATTTTTTGGTACTGGGAATAGAACTCATGACCTCATGAGGTCAGCAGGCACTGTGACGCTGAGTTATATCCTCAGCTGAATTATTTTATTATAAGTCATCCAAATAGCCTATGTACCAAAGTATTACTGTAAGCTACAATTTAAGCATAGCAAAATGCTATTGTATAGTATCAAATTTTAAATGTATGTTAGTACTTAATTATGAGTCATGCTCTCCTCACCATGTGACTGCTAGTTTCTCTAAAACTGATCACTTTTCTGCTCAGAAACACTCAGAGACAGCGTGTTTCAAAATATTTTGTCTTAAATGTTATTATGTTGCCTACTTTAAGAATTTCTCCTCAAAACACCAACTATCAAAAATTTTGAAAACCATCCCAGGTTACATTTTGGAACAATAACTATATTTTATTGTGCCAATAACTTATTTTTAAAACTGTCCAATATTGCCCAGTTTTGCCAAAGTGACTTTTATTTTAAAGCAATATATACTTAATAGTTCCAAAAGCAGCATTATAATTCTTTCATGTTACTTTAATACTAGTTTAACGTAAGAGTCTCATTTTACATATACAAACCATGAACTAAACAATCAGGCTTCCTGGTCTTTTCCTTAACAGCTTAGAAATGCAAGCACTGACATTGTCTTCAGTCTTTTTCAGTTTTTGAGCCCTCTCTTCACACTTTTTTCCATGACTTTTCACCCTTACAACCATTGCCACCAATACTTTTTCTCAGTTCAAACCATGGCTGCCAGCCTTTTCAAGCCACCTTGGGAGGTTCCAGAGAAAAGTTCTACTTTTTCCTATTTTTAGAATAGAAGCTGCCCCCTTAGTATCACTGAAGCAGTACATATTCCAAAAACACTTGCTACTTTTACAATCACGGCTAGTGTATGTTTCCAGAGAGCTGATGTGAAAATGACTACTGCTGCAATCTAGAGTATTTCTTCATGTACTTCCTTAATTATGAATGAAATAAATGACTAAAAGTAAAGAGCTTGCTCTTAACTTAGGAAATAATCTGTTACACTGCTGCGTGGAGAAGAGAATTAACTGGACTATCATGAATTTTTTGTGTCCTTAATGACCACATGTTGAATACAGCACCTGGAACACATGTTATAGAATCCAAATTTTCAGTATTAAATCACATTTTGAGTATAATTTCTATATTTTAAAGAAAAATGATACAATACAGTAAGGAAATAAAATGTTTCAGCACATCAACACACAGATGCTAAAAATTTTATGAATAAAAAGTTAACTCATATTTGAAATTGTTTTTGACAAAATAAATTATCCAAATGAATAATCTGCACAGTAAAACAATTTTATTTGGTTTGACTGTGAGAGTTAAATTTTCATCTTTTTTGTCAATACAATGGGAAAGAAAAAGTAAGAGAAATTAAAATTATATTTTCAATGTTGTATATAGAATGAATACAGAAATGGAAATGTATATATAATTTATATGCTGTCATTGTCCTATCTTGAGTAGCTAATCTCTTACTGTTCCTAACTTATAAATTAAACTTTAGCATAGGTATGCATGTAACATAATATATATGGAGTTTCGCACCATCCATGATTTCTAACATTCACTGAAGTCTTGAAACACACTCTCTACAGTTGATGACTATTGTATGTGTTTTGCTGTTGACAGTGGTGAATTTCTCACTAGATAATAAATCAATTAAAATAAATCATAGGATTTTATTTGTATATATTTTTCTATTGTTTTACCCACATTCACTATTTTAGAATTCCAATGATTAAAAAGTATCTGTATTATAGAAAATGTTCACTGAATACTTACCTAGCTGGTCCTATAAAAAATCATTGTTGCTAACCATGTAAGCAGAGTACATGTGCTTAGAGTGCTTACCGTCACAATACTCAATGTTCTTGTACTAGTTCTAATTTTTAGTGAGTAGAAAATAGTTTGGCTCTGGAAAAGTGAGCAGCTCCCAGCAAAGGGATCCCAAATTAGTTTCAGTGAACATACAACTTACCAACACTTGAATTCATGTCTCCATTTTCGGAATCAGCGCCATGTTGGTTATTACTGGCATGATAGTTACTCATGGCTTCTAATTTGATTTTTTTCACCTTCATTGCTTCGGCGATAGCTGCATTGGTAGCAGCAGCAGCTGCTGCAGCTGCTGCTGTAAGACCTTGAAGGAATAAGTTAAAAATAAGGAAACTCAAACTCAAATTTTTCACATAATCATCCATGTACTTTTTATAACTCATGTACAGTATATATTAGATTATTCGATTTCTTTGTACAACACTCTGACAGCACATTCACTGCCAACTAATCAATGTAATTTAACATTGATAAAAAGGAAAGTGTTCTTAATCTTCCAAATTAACTATCAGCACATATAATTCATACATAAAATTATAATGGTAGAAATGCAGCCAGAGTTATCACTCAAAAAAGAAAAGAAAAAGAAAAAAGAAAGAAAGAAAGTAAGCGACCAGTCTGAACAAACCATTCCTGGTCAAAATCTGCTTCAGTTGCCTAAAAAAGGAGGGGAAAATCTAAATTTCTGGCTTAATCCACAAGGACCAACTTTATCACCCAGTTTCCTCCTTATGGTTTCATGCCACACTCGAGCTATGTCACACATGCCACTATTTCGCATAAATAGCCTGCCTCTTCAGGCTCCTGGGTTCCTGCAGCACTGCTTTTGTCTAGGATGATCTTGCTCCATGACTTACCATGTTCATTTCTTAAAACTCCAGTAAAAATCTATTCATGCTTAACAGTCTAACCTCCTTTCCCCCAAGCTGTCTACTTCTCTCCTGTTGCACATGTGCACTTCTGTGGAGCACTGGAGATGTCAGTTCATGTGACCCCTCTCTTTGCTAGATGGTAAGCTTCTCAATGGCAAGGGACCATGTGCTGATGCACGTCTTAGAATCTCAGGATTCAGGAAAAATAAAATATGATAACAGCAGACAGTTTGCTTCTGCTTACGAAATTTAAGTTCCTAAAAAGAAAAAATTAATCACCTTAGCAACCCAAAGTTATTGGTCCACTCTAGTCTTACTTTAAACATTCATATAATAGCCAATAAGCTTGAGCAGGAAAGTTTGTCTTTATCAAATGTTTCAGCTTTTACCAAGTCAGCTGACTTAAGCCTGATGTCCCATATCTGCAAAATAACAGACACTGGAATATACAAGGGAACTCTTCTAATCCTGGAATGTTACTTAGGTCTATGAAAGAGCACATATCCTTTCTCTTACTTTTCATGTATATTCCTTTTTTGACAGTTGTTTTAGTAATTCTGACTCTACTGCTCCAGACTCCTGTGAATTTATCCATATGATTTACTCCCAGTTAGTAGATTAGAGATTGACTACCCCTCTTTTCTTTTTCCTCTCCACTAATCAAACTTTTAGTTACTACGGCAAACACACTGCAGCCCAAAGAATTATAAAGAAGCCTTTCTCAATAGAAATCTCAGCTATGTTCTCAAAGAGTAGGAGAAGACTTTACCTCCTCTTCAGATCTGCATGAAGAGGCCCTGACCATTGTCATCCCAACTCATCAAGCCTACAGACTGGACCTTTGCATGAAAAACTGAGAGCTGCCCCTTAAAAGGAGTTAATCTAAATTCAAAGAGTCCATGTGGGTTTGGTCTGAACATTTATTGCCTTTTAAGTCTCAACTTGAACTGAGTCTCTCATCTTCCTATGACTGAATTTTTTCCCAGTTACTCATTTCCTTCAAAGATGTTGCAGAACATTTTCTTTCCTGTTCTCTTAAAATTCTCTGTGTTTCCCAAAAAACACCTTTTCTTTCGTTTTTCCATGTCACCAATGTGAACATCTCATTTGTTCCTTCCTTTGGTTCCCTGGTGCCAACCTCTCCCAATTTATAACACATCTCAGGCCTTGTCTTTGATTGATGGTGCTCATAAATCTTTCTCATTGTGTTCAAATACTAAAAATAAACCTGCCTTTTAAGATATTATTGACATTATCATACAGGTAAAATAAAATTAAGTGATATGCAGTGTAAGTATGCATGATTCAACCTTGGACAAGTTATGAAATTGTCTGCTAATCCCAAATTGTCTAATACCAAAGGGAAAATGCAAGAATCAAATCTGATAAACTATGTGAAGAGGGGCTGGGGATTTAGCTCAGCGGCATAAGCACCTGCCTTGCAAGCAGGCAGTCGTGAGTTCGATCCTGGTAATAATAAAAATGGAAAAGACAAAACAAACAAACAAACAAACAAAAAACTATGTGAAGAATTCCACATCATGTTTAGTAACAAAAACACATGCTATACATTCTAGTCTTAAACAAACAAAATCAAAACAGTAAGGATTTCTGCAGGACATCTGTAACCTAGCACAGCTCCCTGAGCTACAATAATTATATTTGTCCTTGCATGACTATCCTAACCTTTAGTCTTAATATTATGCTTTATAACTATTATTTAGTAGTTATTCTAACTCACAGCACTGTTTTAGTTTTCTATTTGATGACATTTACAAATTTCACATTTCTAACGCAGCTGGAAATTATACGTGTCACACATATTCTCATGCACAGAGTACTTAGTATATAAACATAACTATAATACTTTTTAATATCCATTTTAGCCTCATTTTTTTTTCAGCACATGAAGAAAATTTTGACATAAGCAACAAGTGCTGATTTTAGTTGTGCTACTTTCCCTGGCAGTTTGGTATGTTTTTTGTTTTAATTCTTCAATATTTTGCATAATCAACCAATTCCCATTTTCTCTGCCTTTGGTCCTTCCTTTCCTCCTTTGTCATGCAATAAACTCTTCAACAACTGCCACTTTCTCCACTTCCAATCTTTTATCATTCACACAGGGGTCAACATGTAAATGTAGATCTGCATACTACATTCAATTCCTGCTCTTAAGATCAAGCTCAGTGATTCATGAGGTAGTCAAGACTCTTAGTGGTCACTTCCTTAACTGAGCAGAATCATTTGTTCCTGCTATGTGACTCAGATACAGGTATTCTTTCACTTCCTTTTTTCATTCTTTCCAGTCAGGCTTTGTGCTGTTCCTGCTTTCTGAAGGAGCTCTGAAGTCTGTCTCTGCCTTGCTTAAGCGTTTTTCATAGGAATGCTCTACGAGAAGCAAAAACAGTGAGCCAGATCCTTGACTCTTTATTGTGTAATGCAGAAAAGGTTATCAGTCTTTTAGGAACTGTCTCAAGATTTAATCTTTTCAAGATTCATGCCTGACTTTCCAGCAAACCGCACCGCAAGTAGGATCCATGATTCATCAGCTTCTGTTCTCATCCCTGCCTCACTGGACATCTTTGCCTGGCTGGAGTTGGCCATCCCTACCTGTATATCAGAATCAGATGCAGCCCTTATGTCAAGCAAGTACCTGAACACTGCCATCTCAGATTCTGACTCTGTAGGTCTGAACGGGTCATTTTAACATACAATCTGTGATGAGCAACACAACTGATTCATCTCTTTTTTTGTTTGTTTGTTTTTGTTTGTTTGTTTGTTTTGTTTTTTGCTGAAAAGGAGTGTGAACCTAAGAGGATTGGATTATGGTTAACTTTCTACAGTACTGCACCAAAAATGTACAAATATTTTCTTAGTATGTTCATCCCAAACGTTTACCATAGTGCTTGGTGCAAATTGTTACTGAATTAAAAACTACTTTTCAAACTAGATTACAGATAGAGTGCAGGAGAAATATGGTTATTATTTTGATAATGTCAATGAAAAGTAATTTAACCTATTATTTATGTTGCAATAAATGTGAATATATTCGGGGTACCAAATGTCATCCATTTAATATAAAGCATGAGTTTTCATTGGCATAGCTTGTCTAGGGCTAGGGAAAATCACAAAATGTCCACCACTCCATGCAATTATTGCAGTTCATGATGGAATGGTACCTTTCAAGACTGTAATGTAATTCTCAAATCTCCAACTTGCTGTCTACAGCAAAAACTTACTTTATAATCTATCTATCTACTAGCCTTAGAGAAGGTCCCATTATATATGTTGGGAAAAGTGATAAAGAGAAAAGTATAATAAAATAATTTAAATTCTTGGTCCATACTACTTATCAAATTCAAAGTATAACAACATTTTCTATGTAACCAAGAACTGTTCAGTGGTATGCACAGTGGAGACCCATAACAGATGCCTTTACTCTTAAAATTCTTTTCATTTCCTGTCCGCACCTATCATGTTTTCCCCTTACCTCAGACTTTTAGAGAATGTTTGCTTTCCACTGCTTCTTTATTCCTCCAATGAAATGCCTTAATTGCAATTTACCATTATTTTTAACTCTTCGTAATGAAAACAACCCATTTTCCCCTCAAAACTAAGTAAATGGGTGTTTCTCAGTGTAATATTTTTTTTACAAAATTTTCTTCATTGGAGAAAAAAATTAGACAAAGAAAAGCAAGCAGGCAAGCAAGAAAGACAATATAGAAACACTAAAATCCCCATGGTATGTTCTTTCCTTGTAAGAAAGGCTTACCAAGCAAGCAGATCATTGCAGCGGTTTTCAAACAAGAATGAACAAGAAGCTTGTGAATTTTAGAATTTAGTGAACTATCATAAAGTGAAAGGAAAATGATTAAGCAGTTCAGTTTTTAACAGAAACCCTTTTAAAAATGACACAGATTTGATTCAAGTTATCATCAAATAACCTAAGGGACATGAGTACCACAAATAATAAGGCAAAAAGCTTGTGCCAAAATAATCAATATAACTAATGGGAGCATAGATAGATGCCACGTGATGAACAAATGGATGAATAAATTAATCCATTCACCTAAGAAATTATTAATTCCATTTTACTGCATTAAACCTATCCTTATACTACCAAAGAATTTCGACTGAAGCATTCTGTCTTCTTATTTTAAAAAGAGTCTATATCTAACTCATCATCAGCAATATGAAAATTTAATGTGTATTAAAATCCTTTTTTCTGACAAAAATTCAGAAGTATTTTTGTTTTAAAAGAGAGGCTTTCTTTAGACAAAAGGTAGTATATTATGGCCCCCTTAATTGTTCCTCAGGAAAGGAGCTATCCATCTAGCATCAGATAACATCCTATACACCTTACACACTGCAAAAATACTTAGGCTTCTTTTTCCTTTCTAACTGATCACAACAAACCTCACCATTGCAATTT